TCCAGAGTTTCTTGTTCATTTTGAATATTATCTTTGTATTCATAAATCTAATATTAGTATATGGACTAATTTTTTCAGTTTCAGGAAAATTGAAATGTGTATTTGTACAGTCTAACATTAAACAACTCTCAGACTTAGGTTAGGAGCCATGACTTAGGAAACATGGTCTGTAGGTAATGCTTGGAAAGAGGTAAGCTCCTCCACAGAATGCTTCAGAGCACATGGTAAAATCCTGCCTCTCTCCATGGCCTGAACAGGGAATCTGAAGTTAGATGGCATACTCACAACCATTCGCACATTTGTATTCATTTGTATTTGTTTTCAATTCATTTTACCATATAGAATTAGTGTGTGGAATAATTGAATAACAGGGCTTTTTAAGATAGTTCTCTGCTAGTGTTGGCTTGCGAATTTCCCTCCTATTTATCTAGTTCTTGGGCTTTCCTCTCCACTTGTTCTCAGAGAATCTGGGGCTCTGACAGATAAATTAGAACAGTATCCCAGCACGTATAGTATTAACATGTATAGTAAATTGCCTGGAGCGTGCTGCTCTTTGCTTCTGCACTTCTGCTTTGCTGTTTGGGAATTTTTGTTTGTTTGGGTTTTAGTACTATGTGATTTGAATAGGAGGAAGATCCTCGTGATCTAATAGCAATCAGATTCCAGGGGCATTTTGCTAAAAAGTTCTGCTGCTAGCAAAATAAATCCCTGATTGCAGAACAAGGCAGCAGATAAGCTGTCAGGTCCTTTTATTTGAAAACTTCAAATAACTCTGTGCAAGTATGAAGCTGCAGTTGCATAGTATATCAATATTGTGTAGCATATTAATACCAGTTTAAGTACTGTGGATTAACTAATTTATTTCCCCTCTGAGTAGACTATATTTCCAAATATTAACAGCGTTTTCTCATGTGTTTGTTGTTTCTTGAAAGGTAGATTGCAGCCTTATGCAAAAAGTTCAATGTGTAGTGTACATAGCCCTAAAACATTGGGGATCCCTCTGTCATCAGTAAGAGAAAGCAACCGCAGCTTTCATTGGAGATAGTTGTGAAGTACGTAGTCTTTGGGTTTTTTTACTAGGGGTTTCTAATTCCTACTCCTTCTTCCCTGTTGTGGCTTACTGCCACATCCAGGTGATTGATGTTTCTGCCTGTCTCATCTGGGGCGCACACAGTCACATTTCAGGTGATAGAAACCCAGGAAGTACCAAAACTCTCTATGCCACTTTCAGCCAAGTTCAAAGATCAAAGTTGTAAAAGTAGGTATATTTTCTGGATGCTAAAATAAAGCCTGTGTGTCTTTGTCTTCTGGCCAGCAAAGATAGATGGTTATTAGTAGGCAACAGTTGGTATTTTTTTGTTAATGTTGTTAATGATAGATAAGCTATGTATAATGTCACTAAATGTTCTACTTTGGTATTCAAGAAGAAGGATCGTGATTTTGTTTGGACATCGTATTACTAGGGAATAATGAAGCTGAATTTTGATTGACTTTTTGCAAGCTCTGGGTGGAAAGATACACATGGCAAGCAAGTATGTTTCAGTTTAAGATTTGTTTCTTTCAATATAGATATTAAGGACATTTTCTGTAACGAACATTGGTGTATTGTCATTTTTAATCTCTGTTCTAAATTGAAATTTCAGAAAGCTGCTTTTTCTGAAAACAATGCGTTTCTGAAAACAAGGTAATTTCTCTGTATGAAAGACAGGAATACACCGATATGTGTACTTTCTCTGTCTTTGGAAATACCTTGCAGAACAGTGTGTCCTGATATTTTGTTGCTTTTGAGGGGAAGAGTGTTTTTCAGAGAGATTAGGAAAAAATACTGTACTCACTGTAATACCTTTCATGAGATTGCTTGAAAAACAACAAAGCTTTCTCAGGAACATTTATCTGAAAAACAAATCTGTGCAGACAACTTATTTCAGTGGCAGATGTCCATGGCTAAGCTTTACAAATTAAGGACAGTTTTGTGGGGAATCCCTCGATCCAGTCTTCCACTTGTTGTAGTCAATAATTGTTATGGACAATAGAGTGTACCTTTTATCTCTATCTTTTCAGTAGTCAAACATTCTGTTTCCTCTACTGAAAAATAAATAATTTTGCATTTTTTAATTTAAGCAATTGAATCAATACTTTTCTCTGTTGAATGTCTTCTATTAGTGTACAATCATAACTAACTAGAATTTGTTAATTACAAACTTACTTGTAAATATTGTATATTGTCTTATGAACCTTAAATGAAAAATTTCTCTGGGATTTTTGTTGGTTTTTTTTTTTCTTTCTTTAGCAAACAGCAAGTTAGAAAGTATAAATCAGATTTTGCATGGATTGGCTTGCTCTGCTCCCATAGCAGAGTGAACTAATGGAAATATGAAATACTTTGCTTTCTGGCAGAACTCCATATCAATTTACAGCCTTATGTGTGCATTAAAATCCCTTAAGTATCTTAAATGTGACTTGGAAAGAGTTTCTTTAAATGTTGTTGTGCCCTTCATTGCCTCTTCCTCACCTTTTTCCTGTTGGTGTTTTTTTTTTTAATTATTTTTTTTCCTTAACTGTCTTAGAGTAAGGAAAGCCTGAAAGGTTTTTGTTAGAACTGGGAAATACCAAGTCAGTTCTTGTTTTTTTCCTTTGCTTGAAGATATCAAAAGTGTGAACTTATTTGTGATGGAAGCTGCATTGCTGTATCTGAGCCTCTTGGAAACATTGTGGGTGAAATCTCTCTGGAGGTCAGAGGCTTATTAGCTTTCATCTTAGGATCTGCAGTTTGAGCGCAACTGTGCTTATTTTAGGTTGTCACCACAGAGAAGCACTGATTTGGCGTGGCTTGAACTCATTTTTTGGCCCGTGGGCAATAAGATGCTATCCTGTATTACTTCAGTCTTCTCGATCTGAAAAACTATGTTTTGCTTTGTAAAGTGTTATTGCAATAAATGAATAAAAGAGTAGAAAATGTAGATCTACACACACACACAAATGACTTAACTCTGAAAATAGATTATTCATTAAGCTTTACTGAATATTCAAAAGGAAATAAAAAGCAAACTTGCTTCTGAGATACATCATCAAGAGATCAGATTTAAAGAGCCTCAATACAAATATTGTAAAAATTCAGTGCTGCTGATGTGTCAGCTGAAGTAATGTGCCCAGTCTGGGGTACCACATTTTAAACAAAATGTGGAAGAACTGAAAAGGTTCCAGAGAATGGGGGGAGGAGGGAAGGGAATGTGGCCTTACAGGAAAATTTGAAACAGCTTGGTTTATTTAGTTCAGGACAGAGAATAATGAAGAGAGTCTAATAATAATATGAAGTACTTAGCAGTTAAAAAAAAACCCACCAGACAGTAATTGATTGTTTTCAATGTCTGATAGATTTAGATTAAGACTGAGATGCTTAATTTTCTCTGGACATGAAAGTAACTGCAGATGCAGGAATGAGCTTTAATATTTAGGTTGCAATTATTACTAAGTAGATAGGAGCAAGGGTTACATGACTCCTGCCATATAGCCCATTACTCAGTTGAGGCTGTTACTAGAATAGCTACAGAACTTGATCTTGGAATCCATCTGTTGGAAGGAGAGCGGAGGTCTCTGAATGCCAGGACACAGCTTCCTTTTGCCCTTATTGCAGACTCTCACTCAGTCTCTGGCCTCAAGTCTTCTGCCCAATGGAATAAACTGGCAAGATTTTTACCGAAGGTTTAGGATAGATGCTAAGAAAAGCTCTTAGACTATAAGCATAATTGATTTCTGCATTAGCTTTCTAGTCAGGTCTTTAACCCTGTCACTGGAGAGATTTAGCAAACACATTAGACATCTGTCACAAATAGCCTAAATGTATTGTATCTAGTCTTGGAAAAGGTATCTCGAGTTACTGATCTCTGTTGGTTGCCTTAAAATAATTTCTAAGAACTATTTAAAAAAATACATCTACACATTCAAAATATTCTTTCTGTTCTAAACGTATATTACTGAAATGGTTTTGGCTCTGGTTTCCTCTGATGGCAAAACTGCACTGCAGAAAGTTAGGGTGGACCCTTGAATGAATTCAGCTGAATGTTCTCTCTGTGAGAGAGAACGTGTAAACATGCAACTACTTTCTCCTCTGCACTGAAGGGCAGCACTGTGATGGGAGCTGCATCTGCAGTCATGATATTTGCAAAATGGAACGCTTGTGTGTGGATTTGGGAATAAGAAGCTTCAGAAATGTCTGTAGCAAGCATGTATGCCAGCAGGATAACGAGTACCGTCTCTTCATATATGCTATATGTGCTCATCTCAGTGCTTGTGTCTGAAACAGTGTAGCATTTCTTCTTTCTTCAGCATTTTCTCAGCTCTCTTCTTTCTTCCCTACTAAGTAATTCTGAAATGATATGTGATAGTTAACAAGGTACTTCCTGTTTTCTAAGTTAGATAACGGATGCAATGTTTAATTCGTGTCTTCTGGGGCAGATTGGAAGGGGGAAAAAATGTATTTGGAAATGTTTTTAACACATGTTTAAGTTATCAGTGGCAGTGTATAGGCTGGCTGGTTCTAAAACTGATTGTGAATTGTAGTTCTGGATACATACCAGGTATTCTAAGATGTTAAAATATAGTCAGTCATTTTTAGCTATTTTGTATTTTTCTTTGCAGAAAGCTCACTTATGTCGGCTGTTGACTGTAGCTGCACCATAAATCTTATGTTGTACTGATATTACATCAAGAGCTAGTAATGGAGAATGGAATACTTTAAAGTGGCTACATCAAGATTTCATTATCTCAAACACTCAGCCTTAAATAATGGCTTCAGAATATACATACACAAAATATATTTAAACTTACATTCTTCACATCTAGTCTTAATACATATTCCAAAGAATATATAAGCTTGCATTAAAAAAAGAAGGGGGGAAAAAAAAAAGGCAGTAATTACTATTAAATCAATCCTATTTAGATTCCAGGCTTTTTAGCTGAAGTGAGGGCTTTATTTTTAAGAAACCAAAGACAGTAGTGACTCAAGCCAAGGAACTATCAAATGGCTCTTTTTCCTCAGGAGTCCCATGCTGTGTGACCGGGGCCAAATGTTCTCTGTGGTATTTAGCAGTAATTGCAGCATAGGCACAACCATAAACAGCAGCTGCCAACATCATTAGACACACAATTCCACAGACAACTCCAGTTATTACTACAGTGGCAATTGCATGACGCAAACTAACAGGCCTTGGCTTTGGTTTGGGTTCACAGTTTGCCCGGCTGTTTTCCCCGTGTTCGTTGTGATGAGCGTGTTTCAGAGAACTCCTGTGCTCAAAGCTGTGGTGGTGAATGCTAGCCAGATGGAAGTGAGCTGTCCTTAGCGGGCAAGCCCCAAACAGCTCATAGGGAACTTTGAGGAGGTCCTTTCCCTTCCGAATCCCTGGCGTTGAGCAGATAATGCCATCACTTATTCCTCCTGGAAAACAAACAAAACAGATTTATGGTCTTAAGATTTGGTGGTTTCTGAATTATCTTAATGTAAAATTAACAGAAACCTGAAGTAAATTTATCATCAGCTTTGACTTTATATGTTTAAAGATTTATAGCTATATCTTTAAGATCTTTTTCCAGTTAGATCAATGGTGAGATTATTACACTTCAACACTCGTATAAGAGAGTATTCACAAGAAGCAATTCATCAGGAATTGTTATCTATGATCTTATGGATGTAAAAGTAAAAAACAGCAGTGGTATAAAAGTAAGAACTAAGTCATAGATGAAAACAAAGAGGTATTGTTAACAGCAAATTCATTCCATTCAAATTCATACCATTACTACTTTGTCTGGAGAGAAATGGAATCAATACACTTAGTAAAGATTTCCCACTTGATTGAAATATTCTATGAAATGGTCATTGCTCTAGCATCAAATGCTAACTGTAATGAAGCAAAGAGTTCAGTAAGTTGTATGTATACATGAGCAATTTTTTGAAGCAAGGCTCATGGTAAGAAAATATACAGAGATCTAAAGGAGTTAAGATTAATCAATCTATTACCCTGCTCAAATTGTAAATGTCAAGATCGCTTAGAGTCAGCTTCTGCTGTCTCCCAAAGGATGTTTTTAGTGTAACAGGAAGTGAAGTAGGAAGCCTCAGTCCTGGTAAATCACGCAGTTGTTCCACAGAGTGTAGAGGAACACACACCGAGCGTAGCCTTCAGGTTTCTAATTAGTCCGTGCACCACGGCTTTAGGGGTGTAGTGTGTCAAGGAGTCAACAAGGCCAAAAACAATGTTTACATATTTTTAAAACAACTAATCAAATCATCTGAATTTTCTTCGTCTTCTCTATCCAAAATAACCCACCTTTTAGCTAAAGCCAGGCATAGAAATTTTCATCCTGAAAAGACTTTGAGAAAGTAGTGAATACAGATGGACCCAAACTGACATCTGGAGACTACTGCACAAGTAGTGATGATAGTCCAAGACAGATTTGAGCATAGCAGCTTGTCTCTTGGTCTTCAATAGCCAAACCCAAAGCATGGTTCCAGACACCTGCAATGTGTTAGTTTGAATGTGGATATAGATAAAACTCCAAATCCTGCAACTATGATCCTTCTATGGCTTTAAGTAACTAAAAATTTGTGCTTGGAATATAAGACTGGAGTCCCACCTGAACTGAAGCATTCTCTATAATTGCTTATGAGAATGCATCAAATGTCAATTGCCTGAGCTGGATTCAGCTAAAAATACTGAAATCTTCTAGACTTATATTGGACACAACAGTCAATACTTTTAAATTCAGACAATGTTCCATCCCTAGCAATGTTTTGTTAGGACTTGCAAGAAATATCTGTAGAGCCACAGAACTATTTTATTATAGGTATACAACATAAGTAATGGGAAAGATTAATGTACAAAGTAACTAATTTTTCTCCGTGTGATTCACACAAGTAATTTGAGGGAAATATAAATGTAGATGAGAACATAGTATTTCAGCTTCCTTTAAAACTTGTTGCTAAGATGAATTAGTAAATTCCATATCACGTCATTAAAGTAATCTGTGCGATGTTTGGAAAGATGGAAGGGCATCATTGAATTTCTAAACAATGTTGGTTTTTGAAACAAATTACAATACTTATGCTGCTGGCAGAGTAATTAAGATAATCTCATATGTTTATCTTGGATCATTACGTTCTTCTCCACAAAGAAGTCAGAACCCCTGCTGAAATTTGTTGTAGGGAATGGTTCCAGCATAATACAACTAACTCCCTGGGATAATGTAATATTTTACCAATGCAAAATATTAAGATTTTAACCCTGAGAGTAGTTTAGCCTTTTGTCTTTTCTAAAAGGTTGCTTCTGGCAGTGGCTTTACCTCACCCAGAGGCTATTCCCTTATTAGTTGTGTCCCTGTAGCCAGTACAGTTGGCTTGTAGAGTTCTGGTGCCTGAAAATGGCAGTCCATTCAGTCAGAGACAACATGGATCATCTTCAAATACGCTATGTTACAACATGCTCCACGTCACTTCCAGATACAGGTAGGTAATCAGTAGTTCAATCACATGCAAGCATCAAAGCCTGATGCAGAGAGAAGCAAATTGCCCTGCTGTTCTGAATTCTCAGAGTCTGAACATACCTCCTGGGAGAAAGAAATTAATTTCTTTTAATACTTAATTCCTTTAGAATTATATTCTCTTTTCTACAGCATCACTCATGAATATATTTAAAAGCAGGTGTGACCAAAATATGAGGCTACTTTTATTTATAAAAATTCACGGTTCCCCATGTGACGGCATTACACGTTTCTGTCAGGAAATCATCAATGAATTTAGTACCTCTTCTGGCTAAAGAAAAATTAGGAAGCAATACTAGGAAGAGTAAGCTTGTCTAAGGCGTAACATACAGTTTTACATAAAGTATTCTTAAAATATTAAAGAGTTACTACATGATAATTTATAGAATTAGAATCCTGACTTCTCTAAAGTTAAATCAGTATTGATATCTGTCTTAATGTTTACCCTCATGCATCAAGTAAAAAGCTTTTTAACAGGAGATTGGTTTCTAGCAAAAATTTATTGGTAGAATTAAAGCAAGTGTATATGCACAAGTATACTTGTTATATATATATAGACACGGATATATATGCATCCACACACTATACATATGTATTTCCAGAATGTATCTGTACCTACTATATGATTGTGTGTGTATACTTTCTCTCTTTGTGCTAATATGAAGTTCCTCTACAGTTCTAGTTTGCCACCTGTATTTATCAAAGCACGTATATTGTGACCTATGCATGAGAATATATTTCAGTGTGCTTATTTGAGAGGATGTTCTAAGGTGTGGGGTAAATTGTTAAGCCATAGTAGTGATGCTCAGTTAGATGCTGGTTAAGTGTTCTCGTGTGCCTTGTATGTAATAAGAATTCCTTACCTCTGTATAAAAAGCTCTCCAGCCACAGTTTCAGGCCAAAGACATTACAATTACATTGCCAGGGATTATCTTTGAAAAGAACCACTTTCAGGTTTGGAAGTGACTCCAGCAGAACTCTTTCCATTTTCTGAAGTTTGTTATGCTTCAGAGACAGCAATGTTATATTCCCTGTGCTGTTTCCAAAAGTCTCAGGCAAACGTATGATGCTGTTGGATGACAAGTCCAGTTCTTTCAGGTGTGGGAGGAAACTGAAAGTCTTGTTTTCTATATAATGAATCAAATTTCTGGTTAGGTTTAGAACCTGTAGATACCGTAATTTTTGGAAAGCACCTGGTGCCAAACTTGAGAGAGAATTATTAGACAAGTCTAAGATTTTGAGCAGTGGTGTTCCAGTGAACACATTTTGGTTGATTCTCCAAATACGGTTATTCTGCAACTGTAGTATCTGAATTTCAGGAGGCAGACGGGCAGGAATTTCAGTAAATCCTCTATTCTTGCAGTCTGCAGTCTTTGAAGCTGTATAGCACAGGCATTTGTCAGGACATCCATGAGCTGCATATATTAACAAGATGATGCTCAAAACCAAAAGCCAGTTACCTGTATCACAAGTGAAACATTTAAAATTAGTTTAAAATGTTTGTCTTTTGGCAATATACAGGTCATTAAAATGGGCAAAGGATGTACAGCTCCATAACAAACAGTAATGTAGATATCATAAAGAGAGTTCATTTCTTTTACAATACATTAGTAAATTACAGGTAGTATTGAAGTACTTTTGTAATGCAGAATGAGGTTAGTGCTTCCGTGGTCTTAAAATGATGTACTTCCCATGGCTTTATCTTAAGTACAAATGGTTTTCAGGAGGATTTGCCATCAGCAGAGCAGCGATGTTTGAAGGGAATGCGACAGAGTTTATAAAATTATTAAACTGAAATGTTTCTCTTTCTGTGGTAGTAACAACTTTGTGCCATCTTATGTCAGAAGAATTGCAAGTAGAACTTTTATTTTTCTGTGTTTTTACTAATTATACTACCTAAAATGAACTAAGTTAACATGCTGTCAGAAGAATAACAAGCTTCAAAAACATTGCTATAAAAACAGTTAACTATGTTTTCAGCAATCCATATTCTGTAAGTTTGTTCTTTAAAGTATCTATGTTGATACTTATTGCTTTAATTCCTTATCTGAATGCCAGCTGTACTTCCCATAGGTACACAATCTACACAATCAGCAAACATTTGTCAAGAAGCTGTTAAAAAGATAAATGGGTTGACAGGAGTACGTAGTAATATTTAGTATTTTCAACTGTCTTCTGCTCCCTGATGTTCAGGGCAGTTTTAACTGAAAAAATAATAGTTTTTACCTTTCATATCTTGCTAATGATCTTACTTTGAAAACAAGGTGCCACAGCATGAAATAAAAAAAAAATAAATCAGATGATGTTAAATAATTAGATTTTTCTTTAACTAAAGAAAGTCAGAATAATAAATCCTTTTGTAACATTGTTTTTCAGATGCCTCAAATAATTTTTACTATTTTAAAATGAAAAACATTTTAGTTACTACTTGAAACCTTTGGAAATTAAAAGCCATACTGCTTATTGACTTACAGAGGTGGAACATTAATTAGTAACAGGGAATATTATATTAAAGGAATAACAGTGTATAACTATGACAAATGTATAAATGAAAGTTTTATTTTGAGTCTACAGTTCTGCAACAGCTGGCGTCAGAAACAGACACAGCTTCCAATGTGGAGTTAAAACAAGCACTGCTTAGCAAGGAAATGGATAGAGAACAGAAAAAAATCCTTATTAATCTGAATGCTTCAATATCTCACCTTTCATTCTGCCTTGCTTGTTCTTCACCTTGCAGAAGATTCAGTCCAGTCTGCTGATGCAGAACAGTAACAAACACTGTTCCGATTCCCACTTCAAATCTGTAATGTGCTCATCCGGTGTCCTTTGTGTGGGGTTTTTCTTTTTTAGATGGTATTTGTGGCTTGTGTAGAAGTGCAACTGTTTCTAGTGAGTTATCCCATCAGCCTTTGATTTATTTCTTTATCACAATCTCCCCCCCTGAAGCACACCCCCCCCCCCCCATCCATTTATGACTCTCAGAGACTTACTCTGTCTCTTAATCAGTCAGCAGGCCATGCAAAGAGTGTCTGTCAACTCTAACTGGACAGCTGTAACGTACAAATACTGACCTGATAGCCTTGCCTTTTCGATTTATTTAATCTGCCTCAAACACAAGGCACAAAAATAAAGCTGCCCTTTTAAATCCGGTATAGTTTCTGAATTCTGGTGGATTATTAGCTGTGCTGTGTCAATTTTTGCAAGATCAGATGAGACTGAACATGGATTCTGATTATCCTGGGCTGTGACTGGAGGCAGTGGAGTGTATAATATCACTACGAATAGGCCTGTGGGTTGATGACATGATTTTGACAGTGCACTTGTTTGCTCTTCTAAGCTTATTCATCTGACAGCCATTAATTGTGCTGACAGGATTTCCTTGCATGGGAACACAGGACTGGTGGCTCCTTCCGTAAAAAAGGCATACATGCTGGTATGGTCAGCAAGAACACTGAACAAAAAGTGATTTATTTTCAAAGATATTGGAAAGAAATGGCAGATGATCTTAAAATTGTACTTCATGTTTGTATGGTGCCTTGACTTGTCTCTGTTACTTCTTCAGGATAACTCATTCATACTGTACCATCTACAACAATAAAAGGATCAATAATGACTTGTGACTATGAAGGAACTCAAAGGTGCTTAAAGAAATGACAGATCTGGTATGTAATAGAGTCTTCAAGGCCATATGATCACTCCACCTGTTAGCTGTCCTACGGAGAAGGAAGTTGTACAATCAAAAGCTTTCAGACCTATTCTTATATGTATGTTTCTTTATTGGGATCAAATTCTGCCTTTAAAAAGATCTGCTTTTAAAAAGATCACCCAAAGCTCACTTTCCAGGGCAAAATTGGTGTCCTATAGGCAATGCTATGGAAGGACTCATAGAAAAGTGAGATCATTAGATCCAAACTGCTGTTGAAAGCAGGCTCTTACCAGAGGTTATCCAGGGTCCTGTCAATCTGAGGCTTCACCTCTTGTCCTGTCACCATGCATCCTTGTGAAGAAAGTAACCCCATCTTCTCCACAGCTACTTTTTGGTTATTAAAGTCTGTGTTTAGATCTTTGTCACCCTCACCCACAGGAGAAAGCTGTAACTCCTTTATTGTATGCTTTGCTGAATTGTTTCTGACACAAGTCAAGACACCCAAAGAAACCGAATACTGCTGAGTAGTGAAGGAGAACATAGAATAACTGACATCCTGTAAAGTAAACATGACTGTTTCTCTCAAGGACACTAGGATTATTGCTACAAATGGCAGACCATACTGTCCTTGACACTCTTGATGAAAGGATGACACATCATCCTGATACAGGATGAAAGTCTGCCATTTAGCATAGAGGAGTACTGTAGATGTAGATTACCTGGTATGATAGTCATACTAAACTCCAACTTTACAATGGGTGAGGGAGATAAGCTTGAAGATCAGTTGTAATGTACTTTAAATGAATGTCAGGTTAAAGCAAAAAGCTTCTCTAACCTTTGTAGCACAATGCATTTATTTGCTATTTCCTTTCCCAACCCATGTGTGTGCACACATATGCAAACATATAAACAGACTAATCTTAAATAGCACCAGTGAATCATTTTCATGAAGACAGAACTAAATATATAAAGGGCTATTATAAAATATAAAATGTCCTTAGAAGTTGTAGCCTTGCTAGCTACAGATACTCTGCTTTGCTCTTTCAAATAATAAATTTGACAGGTATTTGTTGCTTGAGATGACATTTCTCTGTCCTTGCAATAACCCATCCTTTGTGTCAATGATGGCCCTTTTCATGACTTTTGATTATGTTGCAGGAGGTACTAGCTATTATGTTATTGTTTTCTGGTATAAGACTTTTTCACACTTTGAGATTCTGTTTGATACCTAACATTTTATTTTGGCTCATGAATTAAAATTCTTTTTTAAGTTGTTTTTCCTTCTTAACTGGTGTTTGCTGACCAGGTGGGCTTACAAGCTCCCTCAGCAACTTTTGTCATCTAATAGAGGGCTTAAAGAATGTTTCTTAACTGCCTCTCTAATTTTAGGTAAGTCTTGGCTACTATAATTGTATTATTTTTAGCATGCGCCATATTAAAGAGATGTTCGTGGGACAAGGTCACTGAAAGTTAAGCACTGTGGGAGGTTCAGTTCCGACAATAATGCAGAGGTTGTTTTACGTACGCTGAATTGTGGTATAAGAAGTTATTACTTTTTTTAAAACTTCATGATGAGTTCAGATTTGGAAACATATGATTAAATCTGTCGATTTGCTTTTTTGCGTAGATGTGGCTATTTTTCGCTTATATTGAGAACTCTGAATGCACATGTTTTGTAAACAGAAGTTTCCCCAACCTATAATCCATGTCCTATTACCATTTATTAGTAATAATGCTTTGGTTATGACAGAGAAGTCTGATGTGGTGAAAATTATAGTTGTGACACAGGTAGGGATTTGCCAGAAACAGAATAACCATGAAATCTATTCTACTTCTGGCCTTTTGAACAACCAGCAGGATTCTTTTCAGTTGTCTGATGTGGTGCAGCAACTGTGTTATTGTGACTGCTTAAATTAACTTGTGCCTTGTTGTAACAAGATATGTTTGCCATTGCAAAGAGTGAGGCAGCCCAGTGAACCAGTATCCTATCCCTGGTGGCTGGTGGGGGCAGTTGGGTGTTTCCTTTGCCAGCAAACACTTTGTACAAGAATTCCTGCCAACTCCTTTAAAGAAGCAGTATGTTTAAGAATCATCTCTTTTACAGAAGAACATTATGTTAATTAAACTCTAGCAGAAAGGAAACAATTTAAATATTTCAAATATTTAAAAGCTACAGCATTGGGATTCCACTGCATTCTGTATCAAGTCCAGGCAGACATGATTATATAAAAAAATGTTCCTAAGACCACGCCAGGCAATTCCTATACATTCTCTTTGTTAGATTTATTTTTCTTATTCTTTTGAGTGGGAAGGTGTTAAAACTGTGACTCTTACAGGGAAATGGCATGTGCTTTTTCATTACTAACATGTTTCTCCAGATTGGTAAAACAGCTAAGCTCTTGGTGAAGACCCTAAATGTAACTCCATGCAATGCAGACTCCTCTTCATTTCAGGCCAAAAAATATTTGACAAATTTGACAATTCATATTTGTTAGTGAAACAGCCCATACCTCTGTTGTTAAAAGTCTCCCCTTTTAACTGGCACTTAAAAAAAAATACAGTGCTGCATCATGGAGAAAGATCTTATCCTTTCCCAGCTATGAGTCAGAACACTGTGCAAACCAAGATGACAGGACATAAGAAACCCTTGAATCCCTCATGCTTTTTTTTCTACAAAGAAAGTCCGTGTAGTCTAAGAGTTCAGGACCCTCTTAACTTTTGCCTGGCAGGGTACCAGCTTTTCAAAAGTTAAAAAAAATTAGAGGAAGGCCCTGGATCCTACTTCTGCCTACCTTTCACAAAAGAAGTATAAGCCAATGGATCAAATCAAATTTGGCTTGAGAAAGATTTATACCATAAAAAGCTGGCCATATTTTCCAGGAGAGATGGGTACATGGATTTCTTCAGATACCTTATTGCTTAGGTAGCATAAGGGGAGAATAATACCAGCTGGAGTTTACTGACATCGAATCTTGGTTATCACACAGCATAAGGAGACACCATGATGTCTAAAATGTTGTTCATGTCTGTCCTTGGCAGTTGTTATGAACGGTTTGGTGGTATCCATTTAAGCTGAGAAATAATATTTTGTAACTCTAGAAATGAGGAAACTGGCAAGAAGTTGTGATTTTGTATTTTGGATCACTAACTTTGAGGGGAGGAGCCCAGTTTTCTTCTTTTCAGTGGTTTGTTTTTTGCCTTATTTAGATACATCTGGTACTTGTTTATACAATGCATAATTAATCTATGAAATGCATTGTTGGAAGTTATCCTTGGGCCAAAAGATTAGTAGGATTCATGTATGATCTGGAGCTATAGTTACCTCATGGGGCAAAAAATCATTTAGAAGGGATGTAAACTTTCACTCTTAAGGGCTTTAATCAACCACTAATGACACAAGTTACAGAGAAAAAACTTTCCCTGTGGGCAGGGGTTTTTTCCATAATTACTATTTATAGGAATTTTTACACCTTCCTGTGACACCTCTAGAAGAGGCCAGTGTATGAGATATTAGAGTGGACTAGATGAACTGGAACATTCTGCATTCCAGGTGGAAATTTACAGTGGGGAAAGGGAGAGCTGGGCAGGCTTACAGCCTGCTGCTTGCAGCTAGCTCCTAAGTGGCAAGGGGTGTGCTGCCGTGCCAGGTGATAGCGCTGGGGCTGCCTGTCTGAGCACCTTCTCGGTTTAGGTCAGAACTCTATTCATCCCCAAACCACTCTTCTGGTTTGGAATGGAAAATTCTTTTGACATTCATATCCAGGTCTTTGCTAGTAATCTACAGACAAGTGTTTGGGTCAGTCCTTTGTCTACAGGGTTTTTCAGGTTTTTTCCTCCACTGCAGTGATGCAGGACTTTCAATCCTTTAGGTAGATCAGTCAGCAATTTGTTGAGATATTATAAGTCTAATATAATGTAATTAGGAGTTAGTTTGACTGGTACTCCTTTTCCCATAATTAAATGAGCAGAAATATATGAAGGTGAGAAGGGGTTACTTGGAAAATGCTCGAGCACCAGCCTTACAGTATGCTTTGGTAGGTAGAAAATTTATTAGAAATTCAGA